ACATCGAGGAGTCCTCGACTCATTACAATAACATACTTAACCTGTTTATTACGAATAAGCACTAATGGATCCTCTTATGGGCCTACACATGGGCCTAGGCCCATTAAGGTTAGTATAAATAAGTGTGATTAGTGATAAAGAAAGGTACGTTTTCATAATTACCAATTTGATTAACATTGATATCTTTGAGACCGAGGACTGACTTAAGCATTAGAGTGTCTTTTGCAGGTACCCCTCTCATTCCCTAGGATACATCATGGAAGACGAAGACCCAGTAGGAATAGCAAATTTATCGAAGTACCCTCGTGTAGGTACAAGATGCAAACTCAGGTGGTGTTTCTAGATCTCTTTCACAAGATTGCCTTCACTAATACCCACTAAAGTGTCATGATCCATTGTGGGGTTAATTAGTGGTGATTGAAACATGGGGTATTCAAATAGAAATGGGAATGGAAACTAAAAATTGCTCATATTTGTGTTATTTTGTGAGTGTGATAAATATGGAGAATTTTGAGAATTGGGATTAATCGGATGTTAAAATTTTGACATGAAATTAAAATAAGGATTGAATTGGTTTTGATTATGTTCCATTAACTGAAAACAAATCACAAAGATAATTGAGAGTAGATAAAATTGGCTTAAAAGAGGATTTTAAGAGACAAAGAGTGAAAAAGAAGAAGAAAAATTAGGAATTGATGAGTAAAAAATATACAATATAATATCTATTTATACAAATACTAATATATAAAATTATATTAAAAAATAGTTTTATAATGTTATAATAAATATATGTTATGTCAGTAATGTTAATTTTTTCTTTCAAAAAAACTTATTGTATAACATTCCTATTCTTCCATAAGCCCTGTCTCTCGAATAAAATTACCCATAGTACAAGGTCTTATACAAGCAAATCTTCCAAAGAACCAGATGTCCATGTTGTGGTTGCCCTAACAATTATTATTATCATACTTAGTGACATATTATTAGACTATTATTAAACTATATTTTTTAGTCTTACAAATTTTAAGTGATGTTGATTCCCTTTGAGAGAAATATATTGAATATTTTATATCAATTAATGTAAAATAAAAGAGAAATCGAGAATAATTGGGTTGTAATTTTTTATTCAGAAACAAAGGCAATATATACACAAATATGTATCTCCAATTTGATGATTTTTTTCCTATAATTAAGCTATTATGATATTATAGTTTCCATATTTTCAGCAAGAATCATGGGATACAATTATCTTTCCTAACGCTCCCCCTCAAGATGGAGAGTGAATGTCATGAACTCCCAACTTGCTCTTCGTTGTAAGAAAATCTTCCTTCCCTAATGGTTTAGTGAACACGTCGGCAATTTGTTCTGCTGAAGGAACCTACTCCGTTGCAACTGAGCCATCTTGAATTTTGTCACGAATAAAATGAAAATCTATCTCTATGTGTCGATTTCTTTCATGAAATATTGGATTAGACGCAATGTGAAGAGCTGCTTTATTATCACAATACAACAATGTTGCCTTTGAGTGCAATATCTCTAAATCCCTCAATAGTGATCGTAGGCAAGACAACTCACAACATGCACCTGTCATAGCTCTATATTCATCTTTAGCTGATGATAGAGAAACTGTCTTCTATCTCTTTGTTCTCCAAGAAATTAGTGATGATCCCAAGAATACACAATAACCTGTAGTTGATTTTCTTGGTATTGGGCAACCTCCCAAATTGGAATCCCAGAAAGAACGCAAAGATAAATCATTTTGGGAAGAGAAAAATAAACCTTGACCTGGATTGTTCTTTAGGTACCGCAATATTCGCATGGCAGCTTCCATATGAGGTTTACAAGGAGCATGCATGAATCTACTCAATATGTGCACTGAGTAAGTGCTATCTGGACGGGTAACAGTTAAATAAATTATGCATCCTACAAGTCGCCTATATGAGGATGGATCTTTCAATAAATCTCCTTCATCTGACAATTTTACATTTTTCTCCACTTTAAAATTCACGTTTTTATCTCCCAAGCATCCTCCATCTTTTAGAATCTCTAGAACATATTTTCTTTGCGAAATAAATATACCTTTCTTTGACCGAGAAACCTCTATGCCCAAAAAATACTTTAAGCCACCCAAATCTTTAAAATGGAATTGATTATGCAAAAAATGTTTAAGAACAGCTATGGCGTTGGGATCATTACCGGTTATGATGATGTCATCAACATAGATCAATAAGGTAGTAAATGATTTGCCTTTCTTACAAGTAAACAAGGAGTAATCTGATTTGGACTGAATAAATCCGGCACCTTGAATAGCTGTAGAGAACTTGGCAAACCATTGACGAGAGGCTTGTTTTAGTCCATATAAAGATTTGTTGAGACGACACACAAGATTCTCCCCCTGTCGTTAAAAACCAGGAGGAAGAGACATAAATTTCTTCAGAGAGATCTCCATGAAGAAAAGCGTTGTTGACATCAAGTTGATGAAGTGGCCAATTTTGAGCGGCTGCCAAAGCTAATAAAAAACGTATTGTGACCATTTTATCAGTCGGTGAAAAAGTATCATGGTAATCAATACCTTCAACTTGTGTGTAACGTTTTGCTACTAACCGCACTTTATAGCGTTCAAGAGAACCATCGAAGTTGCGCTTGATTTTGTATACCCAACGACAACCGATAGCTTGCTTTTTTCGGAGGGAGGGGTGTGAGGAACCAAGTGTTGTTGGCCTCTAAAGCAGCCAATTCAGATTGCATTGCTATTTGCCAATGAGAGTGGGAGGCAGCTTGTTCATAACATGTAGGTTCAACATCATTAGTAATAGTAGCAATAAAGGATCTATGTTGTGGTGAGTAACAACCATAAGAGATAAAATTGCAAAGAGGGTATCGGGTACCTTGACTTGGAAAAGATGACAAGAATAACAATGATTTGGGAGAACTTACTTGATTGCAAACATAGTCATTCAAAGCTACAGGGCGAACATGAGTTCTTTGAGAACAACGCAAAGGGGCTATTGGAGGAATGGCAGGGGCAGATTCCGCATGTGTTGGTTGGATGGGTGATGAATCTGGGACAGCAAAAGGTATGACAGAATCAGTTTTAGGTGGAGAAGAAGAGATGGATTCATAGGGAAAAATATCTTCGTGGAAAATAACATCCCGACTAGTGAAGACTTGATGAGAATCGATGTTATACAATTTGTATGCTTTCTGACCAACTGGATAACCAAGAAAAATACATTGAGTGGCTCGAGGAGCAAACTTATGAGACACATGAACATTTGTAGCATAGGCTAGGCATCCAAAACCTCTTAGGTGGGAATAAGAGGAAATTTTTCCATAAAGTTTTTCGAAAGGAGTTTGACGAGAAAGTATAGGTGTGGGTAACCTAATAATTACATGAATAGCAGTAGAGATACATTCTGCCCAAAAGTGTAAAGGGAGATGAGATTGAAAACAAAAAGTTAGGGCTAACTCAAGGATATGTCTATGTTTTTGCTCGACCACCCCATTTTGTTGAGGTGTATAAATGCAAGAATGTTGGTAAATAGTGCCCTGTTATTTAAAAAATTCTCGCATTAAGAAGAATTCTTTTCCATTGTCAACCCGAATATTTGCTATAGTATTGAGTTTTCACAAAAGAGAAAAAATGGGTTAAAAAATTGTGTCTCGTTCTTATGATGCATGAAAAAAAACCCAAGTAAAACGAGAAAAGTCATCCACAATAGTCAAAAAATACTTTGCACCAGAAAGAGAAGAAACTTTGAATGGTCCCCAAATATCGCAATGGATTAATTCAAAAGGCTTAACAGAAGAAATTGAACTAGGGGGAAAAGGAAGCCTAGTTTGTCTTGCAAGAGCACAAATATTACAATTATTAGTTTTCTCCAAACAGAAATGTAAGAATTTTTTTGCCAAAAAGTCTAATCTAGAATAGGATAAATGTCCTAGACATCTATGCCACAAGATACTAGAAGGGTTGGAAGTATAGGGTTGGAAGTATAGGCAGATTTGATAGTATGAATTGACTGGATAGGATTGTGTGACTTATTCATTGCAACCAAGTAATAGAGTCCATCTCGTTGTTCACCCAAACCAATCGTCGTCCCTGTCATCAAATCCTGCAAAACACACGATTGAGGAAAAAAGGTTACTGAACAATTTAAATCTCTTGTGACTCGACTCACAGACATCAAATCCACCTTCCAAGATGGAACCCCAAGCACATTCTTCAAATAAATTATAGGACTTAAAGGTAAATTTCCAATAGAAAGAATTGGAGCCTGATCTCCATTTGGCATAACAACTGGTGGTAAGGAGGTGTTTTCTTTACTGTTGTCAAGCACACCACTATCAATTATCAACTTGGGTGTGGACAAACCTGAAGAAAGATTGGCATTATTTGCCTTGGGAGCAACTGATTGAGATGCTCCACTGCTGCCTTGAATAACAGACAAAATTTGTTGCAGTTGCAATTCAGTTAATCCATTCACAATAGGTTGAACATGTGTTGTTGGGGCCTCTCTAACATGATTTGCTGAAGATTGATTTTTGTCGTTGGGCTTGGAATGATAGTGTTTATTTGTAGAGTGCTTGGACTGTCCATGTGGATAACTGTGTAACTTCCAACATGTCTCTTTTGTGTGATGATCCCTGTCACAGTGGGAACAATGCAGCGGCTTGCGATAATTGGAATTAGGACGAGAAGATGAACCATATTTGTGGCGAACAGCAAGGGCAATTGGTTCCTCTTTTTGAACAACCATGGCAGAAGCTTCAATAGTCTCTTTTCTTGTACCCAAATTTCGTAGGTTTTCCTCTTGAATGATGGAAGAATAAGCTTGTGAAACATCAGGTAAAGGAATCATCAAAAGGAGTTGACCACGGACAACACTATAAGATTCGTCCAAGCCCATGAGGAATTGCATCAACTTGCATCTTTTGTTGTTTTCTCCACATGTGCAAACTGCATCATTGTAAGATCCTAACTCATCCCACAATTTTTTTTAACTTTGTATAGTAGGCAGCAACCGTCTGTTGATCTTGAGTAAGGCAAGCAATCTCTTTCTAGAGTTGGAAAATGCGTGGTGCATTGCTTTGAAAGAAACGATTTTGAAGATCTTTCCAAACTTCATGAGCAGTATCATAAAAATAATATTGTCTGCAATATCAGGGGCCAATGAATTAAGAATCCATGAAAACACCATATCATTGCATTTTTTCCATGTTGGGTAGTCTTCTAGTTTGGTTTCGGCAGATGATGCTTTGAGAGTTCCATCAACAAAACCAAATTTAGATTTTGCATTTAACGAGATGGTAATGGCTCGACGCCAAGTTGAATAATTGTCACCATTGAGAGGTTTTGAAACAAGAACCATTCCAGGATGATCAGAATGGTAAAGAGAGTAAGAGGGATCAGATTTGTTCCCATCATTAGCCATAATGGTTTAAAAAAAGGAAAAAGAGAGCAGGTCGTTACCGCTCTGGTACCATGTAAAATAAAAGAGAAATCCAGAATAATTGGGTTGTAATTTTTTATTCAGAAACAAAGGTAATATATACACAAATATGTATTTCCAATTTGATGATTCTGTTCCTATAATTAAGCTATTATGATATTATAATTTTCATATTTTCAGCAAGAATCATGGGATACAATTATCTTTCCTAACAATTAATGAAATAATCGAAATAATAACCGTAAGTTTTATATTCTCAACATAAAAATTAATTTTATAAAAATTGAGTACTAAAAAGTGTAAATTCCTCTCTCTCACGTTGTTCCCGCAACATTTCTTATCTCTATTCCTGGCCATTTCCATAAAAAGGAGAGAGAATATTATCGAAAAAGTTCACCGCCCTTGATAAAAAGAGAAAGAATATTTATCAAAAACAAAATTCTCCCATTATCGCATAAAAAGAGAAAGAATATTGTCGGAAAAGAATCACTACTATTTTAAAAACAAATTAGCCTCATGCTTTTTTGATTTATTTGGTTAATCAAAAATCTTACTCTTTCACATGCAATAAATTTAGCCACATGTTTTGTTTTTTATTGATTTGATTTGTTTGATGAAAAAAATTAGGTTTTCACACGCAAAAAATTAAAGTTGAAGTGACGATTATTAGAATAATTAAAATTAAATTTTAATAATCGATTTTGTGATAGATTTTAGGTGGATAGTTAAACTTTTTTTTTCCTCATTTTTAATCAACTAGAAACTTTAAAAATCTGAAATTCACTATTTTCCTATAAATTGATCAAAGTTTTTGTTTTAATTTTCATAACCTAATACATTGTTATAACCTATATAGGATAAAATTGAATTTGAGGGGGGTATTACTCAAGTCTCTTTAGAAAATAATACTTGATCATACCAAATTTACTACTTATGTGATTTGAAATATTTATCAAAATCCTATCAATATTGATGATTTTTTTAAAATTTTTTAAATTTTTATACTTTGTTTTACATGTAACATTGTAGTTTTTGTAAATTTTAATATTAGTTATTATTATTATTTATTAATTTAAATATTGTTGTGATTAATTAATTAGTTGAAAAATGTTAAGGATTTAGGAATTTTAATGAGTTTTATTGTGTAGGAGGTTATTCTAAATAGGGGTTAAGTTTGATCTATTAAGGGGGAGGTATATAAGGTCTTTTTCAAGAAATGGACTTTATAAGTTCATTTTCTAAAGAAAGTTAGAGAGAAGTTAGAGGGAGAAACTTTGGAACCCAAGGAGGAATATTTTCTCTTCCGACTTCACTGATTCCTTCTATCCCTTCCTTGATAGTAGACTTTGTGGTTGTTTAGGTGATTTAAAGCTCCAGAGCCAAGGATCAAAGTAGTTGTGGTGATGGTGTGAAGTTAGCTCGGAGTGACCCGTTTTACTTTTCTTCTTCCTCCATTATTGTTGATTTAGAGGTAAGGGGAGCTTGCTAGTTCTTATTTGTTGGATTGTTATTGTTGCTTCTTTGTCTAAAATCATCAATTCAAATTGTAATGTTGAATGGAGATAGGATTCAAAGTAGAGGTTGTGTAGTTTTAGGTTGCTTGGTTCTCATAAGGAGAAATTGGTCTTTAAAGAGATTGTTGGTTGCATGCTGAAATTTATTGCTTACATGAGTTGTGTACAGAGGCGGATCTTAGTTATGAAATGGGGAAGCCACGGCTCCCCCAAACTTTTCTATAGATATATTTTTTATATATATACATATATATATATATATATATATATATAT